GATAATGAAAATATAACCACATTTAGGATGTAATTTTGCTTTTATTTCTAGATTTTTCTTTTAATAATCCCATTATTATTATTCATGTCTTTGAATTTTGGTGAGTTAATACAAGTAAATGTTCCAAATACCACAATTTATAGTTCTGTATTTGTATGATAAGCATTTTTATCAAAATCACTTTTTAATTTGTATTGATTTTTGTAATATCTTGAGTAATGAGAACAATCTATATGTCAGGAACAAATTCTCTTGTCTCACTTTGTGAAGGTGCTTGATTTTTTGTGTTGTTCTCACACTTGGTATGAAGAGAAAACCATGCCATGGCCATGACGTGAAGGTGAAGGAGTTCCTACTCTTTTTTAACAGTAAAATATTTTTGTAGTAACTCTGACAAAATGCTAGGATTCTGGAACTAAAGCCTTAACATTTTGTCATAGAGGGTTCACTTCCAGAACAGTGGTGGAATAACTTCCAGAATAACCTACAAATGACACGGTAATTTCTATTATTGGTAACTCGGATTATACTTCCAACCCTAAAGCAAACTCACTGCCATCGAGTTGATTCTGACTTGTAGCAATCCTAAAGTACAGAGTAGACCTGCTGTATGGGTTTCCAAGACTTTAACTCTTTTTTCTTCTTCATCTCAACAGTTTTATTGGCACATAATTTACATATTCAGACTATAACTCTTGAGGGAAGTAGGAAACATCATCTTTCTCCCAGAGTACAGCTGATGGTCTTGAACTTCTGACCTTGTGTTCGCAATATGCCACCGCCTATCTTAGTGAGTTAAAAAGAGAATACTACATTTTTTTATCTGTGAAATTAAAAATTAAACTTTAAAAATTTCACATATAAATTGAAACATATATTTTTTATTTTATATAAAATTTGAAAGTTACAGTTTTTGAGTCTATACCTACTCCTCACCTATCGACTTTCTTGTTAGTTGACATTTCACATTTATGACAAGGGTGAAAAATCTATTTGGATCATTAAAGAACAAACAAATCAATGCTTTGAAAATGATGATGGCAGCAGATGTGCTTGACACACTGAATGAATGTATGGATCGTGGTAAGAGATGTAAGAGCCCCCAATAAAAGTATTTAATAAAAGAAAAAAAAAGAACAAATCTGCCTTGCAAGAAGTACAACTAAAATGCTTCTTAGAGGCAAGGATGGCGAGACCTTGTCTTATGTACTCTGGAAACATTGTCAGGAGAATACCAGTCCCTGGAGAAGGAATGACGTCATGCTTGATAAAGTACAAGACTGGTGGCAAAGAGGAAGGCCCTCAATAAGATGGTGTGACTCATTGGCTACAAAAATGGTTTCAAGCAAGAGAACCATTGTGAGAATGGTGCAGCACCATCCTTAGCTGCACACAGGGTAACTGTTTTGCACAGGGTCCAATGGGTCAGTGATGGCCTCTAACAACAGTGTTCGTCTGACAGTAATGAGGGCCAGTGTGCATGGTAAGAGTAAGGCTGGCTCTGGTTGTTAACTCCATGTGTCATCCGTCGTGGCC